GTGTGTGTGTGTGTGTGTGTGTGTGTGTGTGTGTGTGTGTGTGTGTGGAGGGGGGTGGTTTGGAGGCCTGCATGAGGTGACTCTGCCAAAGGCTTATTGTCTCCGTTCAATGTTTGTTGCTGTTACCATTTGTCTCGCTGCTATGATCATTTCCTCTCATATAGAGGCAGTGATACACTTTGACCCTTAATGGCTTTGACCCTTCATTCATGACCTATCCACTGGTTCAAGCAGGAGACCGGCTTCTCAACAGAAGGCCAGAGTGAAGCATCCTAGTGGCTGATGGCACACAGTGGGGACCAGCACACCTCCACACAGCAGCCACGGACTAGGAAGCAGCCAGGAGCCGAGGGAAGAGGTGCATGGGTCCAGCCCTTCTGGCTCAACCATTCCTACCTCTTCACCCTCTGCAGTTTGCCCTGGGTCTGGGCGGTGTTCAGGGCAGGTTTCTTTTTTGGGTATAAGCACATATGTATTCAAGAGCATGTGCCCACTGAGTGCATGTTTGAAGGTCGGAGGTCACCAACAACTGTCTCTCTCAACTGCTCTTCACCTTATTTTTTGAGTCAGGGTCTCTCCACGAACCTGCAGCTCACTGATTCAGGTACAATAGCTGGCTGGTGAGTTTCAAGGATCTGCCTGTCTCCACCCATCCCCAGCCCAAGCACCAGGGCTGTCGGTTCAGGCTGCCACATCTGCATTTTTTTTTTTTTTTAACATGGGTGCTGGAAATCTAACTCTGAGCCTCATGTTTCAACAACAGACATTTTACCCTCTGCCCCAGGAAAATTTTCTCAAACCAGAGTGACACAGAACGGACACAGGCTAAATGAAAAGATGTGAGTGGAGTGCAGGCCAGTCACTGTGAGGTTAGGAACTTTGAGAGTAGGAGAACAAATGGGGAGTGTCAGGAAGTGTCTGTGAGTTTGAGGCCAGACTGGTCTACGTGGCAAGTTCCGGGTCAGCCAGGGCTACATAGTGAGACACTGACTCAAGTAAATAAATAAATCAGATGTTCATAATTATTAATGTGTTTTACTAAGAATCGAATAAGGTTTCCAGGTTAGTGCTACTGATGAGACTCGGCCGCTGCCAGCTTCTAGATTGTTCTCACAGTGACATCAATATAATAATAGTGAGTAGGCTTAGCTGAGCTTGATGAAGTAGAATGACAACAAAACCAGTAGGGCCCCTGAGGCCTGTGTGACTCAAATACATGAAGCTAGAGCATCAGAGCAGGTCTGCAGAGACCACACACACAAGGTGCTCTGACCCTTAGCGCAGTTTCCTCCATGTTTGCAAACTTTTTTTTTTTTCTGACTGGAAAAGGTGGGATTTTTATTCCTTTCTATAAAAAAAAATGCTTTATTATTTTATTTGTATACATTCACGTGTGTGTATGTGTGTGTGTGTGTGTGTGTGTGTGTGTGTGTGTGTGTGTGCTGGGAACTAAATCTGGGTCCTTTGGAAGAGCAGCCAGTGCTTTTAACCACTGAGACAACTCTCCAGGTACCTTTTGTTGATTTAAAAAAATGAAATAAATGTTATTTTACTTTTTCAAGTTTTCATTACATTTTTACTATAAGTACATATATGTGATGTTCATTTATATATGTGTACATGTGGAGGCCAGAGGGTAACTTGTGGCAATCAGTTCTCTGCTTCCACCACATGGGTCCTGGGGATTGAACTCAGACTGTTAGGCGTGGCCTCAAGCACCTTTGCATGCTGAGCCATCTTGGCAGGCCTCAAGGAGACCCTCTCTCTGACATTCTCGTGCATGACCTACTGATTTCACTGATTTCCATATGTGTACCCATCTCAATAACTGTTTTCCTTGGAAAGTGAGTAGGCCCCTTATCTTGGCTGATTAATCACAGCATTTTACTCTTGCAATTATTTCAGTAGTCTGGTTGAATTTCAACATTGAGAGCCCAAGAGGAGGCACACTGAGTCACAGCTAGGGTGCTTCTTTCCTTTGCCTTGGACATTGAAATTCTGGGAACTCTAAATCTAAATGATGGCTTCTCTCCTTCCATGGACTTTGCCATCTGATTAGACACAATGGCAGCCTATACCTTCAGACAGCCAGTCACTGGCCACACTCACGTTCTAGAATGCGAGGCATGAAGCTGAGATGGCATTTCCATGTCAGCCTAGGTCAGACCCCATGCTGGCCATAAAAATAGCTTGAGGAGAGCAAGACACCAACATTGCTCACAGTGTGAAGCCACCAATCACAGGCATCTGATCTCCCGTGGGAGGGTGTTCTCTCTAGCTCCATCTCCCCCGCCTTGTTTCCAGTAGAACTCAGGGCCCCACATATGCTGGGCAAGTATCCTACCTCTACACTTGCTGGCCATCAGCTTAGCTCCAGGTTCAGCGAGAGACCCTGTTTCAAGGGAATAAGGCAGGGAGAGAGCAGGACCAGTGTCCTTGTCTATCCTCAGGTACATATGTATGAGCGATTTACCTGCAAACAAGTGCGTACTCTACCTCTGGCCCACCCTGAGCTTTTCCTAGTTAAAGCTGGGAAAGGGAGGACATGGGGTTTCAAATTGGGCCTCAAGAAAATAACACACTAGCTAGGTGGTGGCAGCACATGCTTTTAATCCCAGCACCCAGGAGACAGAGGCAGGTGGATCTCCGTGAGTTTGAGTCCAGCATGATCTAGAGGACAGCCAGAGCTATATATGAGACCCTGCCTTGAAAAATCAAAAGAAAATAACAAAAAACCATACAAACTAGACATGATGGTTGAATCAGGATGCCATTGAACAGCTATGTGACCTGGGCTAAACACCCAGCTACAAGGATGGTACGGGAGTTAGCAGGGCAGCCCCTGGGCTTGCTTCAGAAAGCACGTGGCAGGAGTTAAACATTGACCACATCCTTGCAGGAGCTATGAAATCCAGCCTTGTGTCAGCCGAGGGTCAGTGAGGCCTGCTGCAGAGCAGGCACTGTCCGGGGTTTTGGATGTGAGGTAATTAATGTAATCCTCCTGCAGCCCTCTGATGTAGAACTTCCACTAACGCCATGCCAGAGCTGACAAAACTAAGGCATGGGGAGGTGAGGTCACTTAACAGGGAGGCTGGTGTGGCATTTGGGTGAGGACCAAGCACAGGGGGTGGCATGCCACATTCGAAATCTCACCTACAAAGAAGCCCCACAGATAAGCCCGCTAAAAAGCCTGAGCGTTAAGAGAAATGTCTATAGAGCCTGATCCCTTAACACAGAGGTGACAAACTGGTCCTGCTGCCCAGAGAAGGCAAGGAACCTGCCCAAGGCCACAGCAGAATCAATGCAGAGCCTGGTCTGAACAGTCACTTTCCATTAGTCTCAGGTCCCTCTGGAGAATCTCAGGAGTTCTCCACAGTCCTTAAAACTACACATTCAGGCGTAATAACACAATTGGAATCTTGCTGGTAAGAAAGCAATGATGAGCTATTTGGATCTATCACTGTCAGCTTCCTTTCTGTCCCACAAGACACCCAGACAAACCTAGGTCTTTATTTGCTATCCCTGTTTTACAGGTAAGGAAAGGGAGACCTAGAGAAACCTCAGTAACTTCCTCAAGATCATAAAGCTGGGGAAGTTAGGAGTTGGGCTGTGCTGGAACTTTAGAAGAACATGGCAGCTCTTGTGATTAAGGCCATTGGTTTACAGGCCCATCTGTTTGCTCCCTGGCATGGTTCTGAGTATCAAAATGAAATATTTTCAGATTATTTCTTGTGTGTGTGTGTGTGTGTGTGTGTGTGTGTGTGTGTGTGTGTGTGCGGTGAAGACCAGGGGTTGGCATCAATCACTCTCCATTTGATTTTTTGAGACAGGCTCTCTCACTTGAACCTGGAGCCCACTGGTACTGGGGACTTTTTTGTCTCCATCTGTCCATTGCCAGGGTGACAGGTGCCCCCTGCTGTGCCCAGCTCACATGGGTGCTGGAGGCCTACATTCAGGTCCTCATGCTTTCAGGGCAAACTCTCTCCACCCTCCCTTTAGGTGATTTTAACAAACTACCAGAGTCAACCCCAAACACTCAGGAGGCAGAGGCAGAGGCAGGCAGATTTCTGTGAGTCGAGGCCAGCCTGGTCTACAGAGTGAGTTCCAGGATAGCCAGGGCTACACGGAGAGACCCTGCCTCAAAACAAAACCAGAAAACCCCAAAACCTACCCTTGCCACTGTCTCCCAGCCTTTTGCCCATGATCTGAATGAAGACAGTCCTGTCTCTGAACTGGGCTTCACATTCCTATCTCCCACTGGTAGAACTGCTGTAACCGGGCTTTTCAGAGACAGCTGTGGGGGATGAAGAGAAGCCTATGCTGGGCAGACATGCCTGGTGCCTGGTGCCCAATGCCTGTGCTGGGCAGGCGTGCCGGTGCCTGGTGCAGCAGCATGTCAGGATCAGGATGGGGCTGGAGTTGATTTATGATACTAGGATTAGATGATGCCTGGAACTGGGCTCCAGTCAAGTCACAAGGATGGTTTTCCTCTCCACATTCTTAATGTGTATTTAGGTGGCAGCGGCAGGGTGCATGATGTGTGTGTTGGGGGGGGGGTGCCTTCACGCACATATACGTGGGTCAGAGGACAAGGTCTACTTGGCATTTCTCGGACACCACCCACTATTTATTAATATTAACTTTGAGTCAAGTTCTCCCAGTGGCCTGAGACTCACTGCTTTGGCTAGGCTGGCTGACCAGCAAGTCTCAGGGATCTATCTCTGCCTCCTGAGTGGTGTGATTACAAGTATATGCCACCATAGGCCTTTCCTGGTTCTGGGACCAAGTGCAAGTCCAGGGCTTCCAGAGTGAGCACTTTGCTGGCTGAGCTATCTCCCTACGTCCCCTCACACCCCTGACCACACACATAGCAGGGGGGTTATGAGAGGAGGGTTCACATCTGTCAAGCCCTTGCCACACGCCAGCCTAGGCTGAGCATATTTTGACACAATCACATTCCTTTCTCCAACAACCTTGGGAGAGCACTGTCCTTATGGCTGTCTTATATTCAGGGATACTGGGTTTAGAGGAAAAAAAAAAAAAAAAGGCCACCTTTTCAAGGACAAGTAGCAGGTACCTCAGCTGGGCCCACAAAGTGTCACAGAAGCTGGGAATGGAGCAGGGGCCATCAGAGGTGATCACACATCCAGGGCCTTTAACAAGCATCTCTTGAAAACACAGCCAAGCCCAGAGAGGGCGGCAAGTGAATCTCTCAGGTCACACACAGTGGACTCCTTGTCTAGTGTTCTTTCTATCTCACTGTACAGGCCTCTACATGGGAAGGGGGCCTGAGCTGGGCAAAGAGCCCTCAAGTGGAATTCAGGGGCCGCAGGGCTGTCTTACTCAGACTCCTCCTCTCCGGTGTCCTTCAGGCTCTCCAGGAATGCTTCTTCTAGTATATCAAGCTCCTCCATAGGCACCTGGAGCAGGGAAGTCACATGACAAACGAGGACTCTGGCCCGGGCATCGTATCGACCTTCAAAGGAAACAGAACACCCAAAGAATAAGCTCAGGTTTCAAGCCAGAGATGCCCAAGCAGTGGGGCAAACAGCAAAGTCCAATCTGGGGGCAAAAGCAACAAGCCCCAGGGAAGCCAGCCTCGGGGGCAGCTCCCACCGTCCTCAGCATCATCCTGACTCAAGCACGCCACGCCACGCCACACATCCAAGTGGAGAGTCTCCATTTTCTGTCCAGTGGCCTTGGATCACAGGATTTTTTTTTTTTTCCTGAGGCAGGGCTTCTCTGTGTAGCCTTGGTTGGCCTTGAACTCAGAGATTAAAAGCATGAGCCTCCACCTCTCCCAGCTTCAACCTCTAATACTTAGATAACAAATATCAGTCTCCCACAGCAGGCTTCAGAAGGCTAAGCTCTATTAATTTGTTTTTGTTGCTGCAATGAACTGCCCAGGCATAATCTTTTTAAAGAATCGTGTGTTTATAACAGATGGAGGGAGGAATGTACATATATATATTTTTGTATGTATTTATGCACTCGTGTGTGAAGGCCAGAGGTCAACAGGTTTTTCCTCCATCTATTTCGACCTTATCTTTTGAGATAGGATCTCTTACTGAACAGAGCTTGCCAGTTTGGCTGTTTGACCATCAAGTTCCAGGGATGCTCCTGTTTCTGTCTCCCCAGTGCTGGGATTACAAGTGGGTGCCACTGGGCATGGCTTCTATGCAAATACTGAGGACTGAATTCAAGTCCTCACTCTTATACTCTTATGGTAAGCACTTCAGAGGCAGACCCTCTCCCAATCAGCAGGTTCTCTCACACACATGCCCGATCCTGTCTTCATATAAGGTTTTGCTATGTATCCCTGGCTGGCCTTGAACTCACTAAGTAGATCAAACTAGCTTTGAACTTCAATTCTTCTACTTCATTCAGCCACCGTACCCAACTCCTTCCCCAGTTTCTAGAGGCTGCCCACAGTCCTTGGCTCCTGGCCACATGACTCCAACCTCTACTGATTATTGGGTCTCCTTTCTTCCTCCTCTGGGAACCTGGCACTCTGTCAAGCCACCTGGATGGCCCAGAACCACCTCCTCATCTCAAGATGCTTCATCTGGACGCAGTTCCAAAGTCTTGTCAAATAGGCGAGCAAAGCCAGGGGCTCTCCAGAACTGAGGGTTGATATCTATGAGGGGCCTGGATTCTATCAAGCTCTGGACCCTTGTTTTCCCCCAAGAGGAAGCTCGTCTGCCATCTTGTGTTCGACCCTCTCCAGATCTCATCCTGCGCCGGGGCCTGTGGGCCTGCATACAGCCTCTCTCCTGGCATTCCTCTGTGTGACAGGCTTGCCTGTGTCAGACTAAATGACAAGCTGACTCATCCGAACACCCCATCCCAGCACCTGCCTTCAGTGGGGTGCAGCAGAAGAGCTTAAACTCTTTTTTTTTATTTTTATTTTTTTGGCAGAGAGAAAGTCACAGGACTTGGCATGCAGCTGCTCTCCAGTCTCACAGGCCCTGAGTTGTCAGAAGTGTGGTTCTTGGTTCCCACTGCCCATCTGTGTTGTTTGAGAAACATGGCACATGGCAGGGATGAGGATTCCTAACTGGGGATATAGATTAGTGGCAGAGCTGGCCTAACATACACTGGGCTCATCTTTAGAAACAGGCAAGCACGCGCGCGCACACACACACACACACACACACACACACACACACACACACACACACACAAATCAGTTCTTGCCTTGACTGGTGAGGTTGGGGGTGGGGTCCTCAGGGCTCACAGACCCCATGCTATGACGGGAGCTGCCTACGTGCTTGGGGACAGACAAGTATTTGTCCCATCTTGGGGTCACTGGGTTAACACAGACAAAGGCACTCCTTTTTCTTTGAAGAGAAGCTCGTGACGCCCAAGTGATAATGAGGTTGTGGAAAAGGGTTGGCCAGGGTGATTAATGGGTGGCGATTGTAATTAGCTGTGAATAATACTCCATCGGTCAAGGCTGCAGTGATTCAGGCTGCCACGTGCATGGGTGATCAACATTCAGGGGTAAGATCAGGCATAAGGCTCCTTCCTGCGGTCTTTGGGAAGGGTCATTTCAAAGGCTGCGAGGGTGGGGTCTGGGGTGGGGCTGGGCTACTGGACTGGGAGCCAGCTTCTGTTTGAGGCGGGTCCTGAGTCCTGGGCTATCTCGGACATCTCAGGCTCAGCTCTCCTGCCAGCTAACCAGGTGACCAATTCACTTGTAACAGGTGGTCAGTCATTATCCACTTTGAGACTGAGACCAAGACTCTGGGCACTGGTCTAGAGCAGGGGTTCTCAACCTATGGGTTGTGACCCCCTTGGGGGTTGAATGACCCCTTTACAGGCGTCATCTAAGACCATCAGAAAACACAGATACTTACATTACCATTCATGACAGTAGCAAAATTACCATGATGAAGTAGTATTAAAAACAATTTTATGGTTGGGGGTCACCGCAATGGGAGGAACTGTGTTAAAGGGTCGCAGTGTTAGGAAGGTTGAGAGCTTCTGGTTCTAGAGCCTTCTGGTTCAGCCCAACCTGTAAGGCCATCGGCTAAGGCCAGAGCCTCGTCTCCTAAGAACAGACAGGGTTTGAGCACTTTGCTCCCCCTCCGTAGCTACCATTGCTCTCTCACCTCTAGTCACCCCTCTGGTCCCTCCTCTTTCATTTTGGCCCCATGCACTCCTTTGGCCCAACAGATCCCAACATCTTTAGATTAAAACTGGCACATCTTGCCATGGCCTGCAAGCCTGCCCATGTTCCAGGACCCTTACTGACAGGATATCCTCTCTTGCATCCTCTCCTGCCTCTTCTAGAAGCTAGCCTTCGCACTTGCATGCTTGCACCTGGGAAGCCCCTGCCCCAGGGTGCTGCCAGGCTGGCCCACATCCACCAATCATGCTTCAACTTAAATATCAATTCCTTGGAAAGGCTACCAGCTCCTCACCAAGAGCAGCCCAGCCTCAGTCACTCTGTTTCCCACAGGGCAGAGCTCCTGGCCTGCTCCTGGCTGTCTCTTCATAGCCATGCTTAGTAGGTGCATCGGCTGACAACCACAGTCCTGGCCCACCAGGCTCTCTGCTGTGTCCACAGCTCTGCACGGCTCAAAGGCCCTCTGTCATCTCTTGGTGAGGTATCTGGTTTCAGGAACTCGGAGTCTTTTCTTCCAGGAGACATGGGGGCCAGAGAGGATAACTGGTTAAGCCCCTCCCCCAAACCTAGAGCATTCTCTCTGAGGGTTACAAATCGCTCAGTTCCTTCTCAGAGCTCAGATCCTTGGGGGGACGCTCTTGTGGCTGCCACACCGCTGCCTCTGTCCCCTTGTCAGCAGCGCTTCCTGACAGTCACCATTTGCATGGGCAGCTTTGGAGCTGGGGATGTAGCAGCTCAGCTGCCTTGGCTTCCATCCCCAGCACTGCATAAACCAGGCATGGTGGTGCACGCCTGTAATCCCAGCACTTGGGAGGTCGAGGCAGGAGGATCATCTTGGGACCTCATCTCAAGCAAACAAATATGTTGGTAGTTTGAAACAGAGAGAGGGTTGTAATCCGCCCGGGTGAAGAAAGGACTCCCTGGGGGAGCGGATAGATGGACCAGTATTGGACAGGGTTATTCAGACTGAGTGAATTTGTTGCTCCCTTCTGGCAGAGAGACTCTGATTCATGGGCTGGTGGGGTGGTTCAGTGGGTAAAGGGGCTTGCTGCCAGCCTGACAATCTGCATTCGATCTCTTAAACACCTATGGTGGAGGAAGGAACCGACTCCCACAAGCTGTTCTCTGACCATCATACAGGCGCTGTGCTCTCACCCCAGTAAATACATGGAAAAAAAAATCAAAGCAAACAGCCTATGATTTGTAATCACACCAACTTAGAAGTTTCAGCTCTCCACCACCAACGCCAGGCCACATTCTGAGCTACACTTTGGTTCTACCCTTGCTTTCTCGAACCTTCTCAACTTCCTGAGGCGGCAGGCACAGCTGCTCACACCATCATGTCAGAGGAAACGGCACTGGGCTGGGTCAGGTGCCCAGGACCATTATCCCCTTGGTAGAAAAGTGGGCCATGAACCCAACCGTGATGGGTGTGTCTGTGTTGCGCATGTGCACCAGGATGGAACCCAGGGTCTTGGGCTTGCTAGGCAAGGGCTCTATCCCGGCCCCAAGAATATGTTTTAAATCTGGCTTTATTGAGATGTAAGAGGAGGGTACTGTGAATCTGGCCAGGGTCTGAGGACACCCCTCACAGGCCACACTAGTGCCAGCCTGCCCACTGCCCTGCCAGCTCTCTGCTCAGCAGCTTTCCCGATTATGCATTTCCGGGAGTATTTATTATTTATCCCTGTTCTTATGTGAAAAAAAAAAAAAATCTCCCATGAGAGGGAAGCCACATCATATTTCCATCCCTTTCGTGGCTCGCCTGAGACTAGGGCAGAGGGCACAGAGATCTACCTCAGAGGCTGCCTCCAGCTCTGCCTCCTCAGAGGCAGAGCTAGCCACGTGGCTGCATACATGCCTATGTCATTGAGACCTGGGGGAAGCACCGTAGTTAGGAGTGGATTGTGGGTAATGCTTCAGGATTAAAACCCCACCACGGGGCTTCTGGCTATGTGGCCACAGACAGGTTATGGTAGTCACTGTGCCATGTCCTTTTGATGGGGACAGTCATTGCATCTGTCTCTAGGGGGATTCCATTGCTTTCACCATGGAGTGCTTGGAAAGGAAGCGCTCAGCTGGGAGCCAGAACCATGCCTGGGGCCTAGTGCAGGGCCAGGGCACACAGCAGCAGTTCAGATCTTATTTGCTGAATGGAGGAAGCAGGATGCCCGAATCTCAAGGACCCAGCCAGGGAACTCAGCAACTGGGCCACAGGAAGAACAGTCCCGCCAGGTTATACTAAAGCCTGGATTATTAGGGGGCAGCGGTACAGGCCCTCCAGAAAGACTTCTCTTGGAAAGCAGAGTCAAGTGTGAGGCACACACTGAGGCTCATGTGCACGC